AGCAGAACAAAAGCGGATCAAGCAGATCTGGCGGAACAAAAGCGGATCACGCGGTTCGAACGCTTTAAATTTGTGTTGAATGGTAAAAGCGGATCACACAGTGTGAGTGAAATATTTATATTGTAAAAAACGTTAATTTTAAATAAAATATTTTACATAAACTATACATACTAAAAACAATTATATTAAAATATATTTGTAATACTGGTTTAATATATTATTATACATGTATTTAATATTTTATTATTTTAAAAAAAAAATTGATTTGTAAATGAATGAAAATGGTTAATGGCAATATAAAATTATTTATTGAAAAGAAAAAGAAAAAGAAAAAATTATTTGTTATTTATGATAATGAGAACAAAATAAAAAATTAAGTATTTTTGGTAAATGAAGAAAGTGAATAATGTTAATGGAGAAGTATGATTTTAATTTAACTACCTATATTATTTTTAACGAATAAAAAATTATAATAACAAAAATAAAAAAATTTCATAGGCGGAGGAAACGCATGGACCACCTCTTATTTGCAATGGAACAAGATCCGTAAGGTACAGTGTATTTTTACTCTAGTAATTGTACTGCAAGTGGTACATTAATATTATATTATTTCTCAAAATGAAACGTTTTGTAATTGTTATATAATGCTGAATGGTGACTAGTGTGCGTATGATCTGCTCCACCGGAAGAACTGCTTTTTTCCCACCTCTCCATTCAAGCCCAGAGTCATGTGATGTTTTAATCTGCACTTACCAAGAGACTGTCTTGAAATGGTAAACGACAGTAAAAGCAAGCGATGACTCATCAACATCAATTTTACACTCATTCTATTTCACATTCACACGTACCCAAGAAACTCTGACACTGATTGACGTTGGAACTCTTGTGATCAATTTGAGTTTCTTCATATATTGTCATTCAAAACTAAGTTTCCAAGTGAGATGTTTATTTATTGCCTAGCTACTTGGAACAAAGATACGTTTCATAATACTATAAGATTTTAAAAGTATCCCCAAATTTGGTTTAATAAAACTTATTGATAATAGTTTCCAAAGTTTTAGTCAGTATAAGGTCAAAATAATAAAATTGGTCTCGTTTTGTATATTGAAGGACATGAAAAGAAGGTGGCCTAACTTAAAGTGTCACGAAGTTTTATCTTCTCATTTCAAAGTGTTAAAAAGATGCAAGAGACTTTGATTATTTTGCTTCACCGTATGCTATGATGATCGGGATGAAATGTTTAAAACTTTGTAAACGTGTTGTTCTCTCAACTGATGTGATAACCTCTTTACTACATTTCGCGATTTATAATTCACAATAAAAGATGATGCGACAACGACCTTTAGGGTAATTGACAAAGTCGATATGCAGATATTAGTAAATGACTGAAAATATTGAACCAAAATGGAAATCATAGATTTATCCAAAAAAGAAATATGCCAAAAAAAAATCAAGTCTTTTCTTTCTTATTTATTTACATAACAAACATCAGCAATAATTTTATCACTAGACATACTCCTTTGTCTTAACAAATTGATCAAACTATAGATTTTTTAAATGTCATTGTATTTTGGTGCTTGTAGAATTAAGATTTTGATTAAGATTTGTTCGTTCCCAATCTCAGTTTTGGAGTTAAAACTTGAACTCATTATCAATAGGTTATTGGCTAGATAACCAAATGTGTTAGAAATATTACAATAACAAAAATATGGTGGCAAAATCGTAACTAACTGGTGTGTTACTTTGCTTGTAATGACAAGTAGCATGTCAATGGATATAATAACATGATCACTTAAAAATTTTCTATTTTCGACCGTTTTTCTGTTTTCTGACCAACAGTTTTTCGAAAAACATTTTGATGACATCGCGACTAATTTTTGTCATATTTTTAAATATATCAAAAATCGATCAAAATTTTCCAATAGATATAGAATTAGTTGAAAATCGGTCAATCCTTTCCGAAAAAATAGATTGGTAATTTCTAAAAATATGTGTGAGAACTATGGTATTATAAACATGCATGACAAATGAATAAACTTATCTACCATTTTACATCCATTGTTTAATGAAGGTAAAAAGTTGGCAATCAAGTGGATGTTTTATTAAATCTTTTATTTGAATATTGAAAACTACGTTATTATATGTAAAGTTTGAGGTGAATATAGATACTTTTTAATTTTGATATAACATAATTTAGTTCTGAATTTTTTATTTTAAATATTTGTTGTATTCTGAAAAAATATTGAGACGGGCAAAAGTATATTCCTGTATTATGAAACTAATTCGCCGGCTGTCTCTTATGATTCACTTACATGCTACACAATTTTTGTTTATGTTTATGTCAAGTTTGCGAATTAATTTGTTTTAAAAAGTTATTCAGGGTTTTCATTTGTTTAATATTTACTGCTTCTATCGTCATTTAGCGTTTGTAATGTACACGCTTTCTCGTTTTATTACGTTTAAATTTATATGCATGGTAGGTTCAACAATTTGTATGAGTGTGTTCAAACCGGCCATGGTTATATACGTATATGTCTTTTTTTGTGCTTATGCTCGACTATAACTTTTACAAATTAAATTCAATATCTTTATATTAATTAAAAACGTGACAAGTAAACCAATCAAAAACTTTAAAATTTATGAGAATAAATTTAATTTTTAGTTTTTTCTCATTATATACATATCACCCGAGTTCTAATCTAGTTGCATCAAAAGTCTAAAATGTTTTACTTCCACAATATTTGGATACTTAATATAGAATATTTATATCAAAAGATATTTAAATTATGATTTGAGTTTGATAACAAACAACAACAATACATGAAAGTTGAAATATCCAAATGATATTTAAACAAGAAATGTTTTCTAATACACCCTTTTAGCTTTGAAAACTACCACTAAAGTCGTAAAGTTAAAAAAGTACTATAATTTGTGCTTTAAGAAGTTTTCATTTTGAAAATCTTCCTTAACTTTTTTAGACGGCCTTTTCTAAAACACATGTTAATGGTACTTCTTAGTTCTTACAATATACAGTTTTGATTTATTTTTGATATTTATGGTAAATTTTTGGTTTTAAGGAATGCCTTTTAAAGCTATATGCAAATTACACGTATTTTATTAGTATATATAATCTTTTCTAAATTGAAAATTCAGTAGTGACCAATTAACTTCAGTCTGCTCAAATAGATATTACATTTTCATATAAATATTTTTATGAAGATATAAATTTACGTTTTCTTTTTGTTGAAATATAACTTAATTTACGTTTTCATCATTTGTTACAAACTAGTCGATAAAGTTTTGCGGAAGGTGGAAGCATAGATCAATCTATTTGTTAAATATTTATATGAAAATTTTGTAGAGAAGAAAAGGTTAGTGAGATAATTTGCTTTGATACACAATATCATTTGTGTAAACGTAGATAAATTTAGATAACACGAAAGTAGCCAAGTGGAACATCGAGAAGTATGATGTTGAATCCTACCTATACCCACACGACAGTCACGTTATTAAGATAAAACGCAATACAACTCTTTATTCTTATTTTATTCCTTGATTTTTATATGGTAAAACAAAATATACAAAAAGTGATCAAAGTACCATTTCTATTTTTCTTTGTGATCATTTCTTCTTAAAATTTAAATTTTAGTGGTTATGACTTTATAATGACTAATTAACTATGAAATTGTTTCTGTTTGGATGAAATAATTTTAAAACGTTACCCAGTCATTAATGCAATTAATAATAAATAGATTGATTATTTAACCAAAAAAAAACCGATGGTTATTTGGTCACAAGATTTAATAAAGATATACGATGAAGAGATAAACACAAATGTGACTTTAAGAGTAATAATAAATTAGTTACGGACCTAACTTTGGCTGCCAAATCATTGAGTATAATGGTGCTCATAAGTCATAAGCAACATAAAATATGGCACACGTGGTGCAGACTCAATGGAAAATGTTCATGTTGACTGGTACGATGAACAAAAGGAGCGATCACGGTTAAGATTTTTGATGGTTGTACCTGCTGTTGGACCGCCTAATGCAACTTCGATGTGACTTCTTCTTTTTAGATATGTTTTAATACTATATATAAACTTCTTTGTTGTTACAACATAATCATATTTCCCTATTAATTAATTAAGCAATTTGATACGGCTGATGATTCTTTGAATACACATACAATATATATTTTGTTGCAAGCCATATAAACAAATCATACGGCTTAATTAAATTCGTTTTAAGTCGGATAACTCAAATTTCTGTAAAATTATTTAATGTCATTTTTGGCAATATATTTTGATTGGCTAATCTAGAAGAATTTAAAGGTATTTAGAGAATCATTTGGCTCGACTCTTTCCGGATTAAGTATTAGAGAATCATATACTTTTAAAGGTGATTTATATTGAATAAAAAAGGCGTATATATAATGATGATCTATATACTATATTACTTTAATGGTTAACGGCCGATCAGGGGCTTATTGGTTACCTCTAAAATGATAAGTAACCACTCGTTAAATGGCTTTCTAAATAAACCTCTATCGACCGTTCTTTAAATTTTTCTTTTTTATAGAAAATCTTTGCTAAAGCTCATTCGTATGAATACGAAATTAAAATATAAATCTAGGTTCGGCATAAAAAGTTTGATACTAATGTAATAGACGCCAAGAGTGCATACCACATGAAAATGTCATACAATTTACATTTAAAACAAAACATCAATAAGAAATATCTGAGACCAATAATGTGACACGTCCTTCTCTCACCGCTCTGTAAACGATGTCGTCTAAAACGTACTAACATTGCATCCTTTCACATGTGAACCCTCTATATATATCTTCCATCATTGGCATTGTAAATTCATAGCTAAAACTCACAAACTAGCGCTTGGCTTTCAAGTGTTAGAAGAGGCTTCAAGAGCTCTATATCTCTCTCTCTTTCTCTTGGTCTTTGATACTTCTTTCCCCGTTTATAACCTTTTCGATAGTTCGACCTAACAAGGGGATAGAAAAATAATCAAGAAATGGCTCTAACTCACAATGTATGGGCATTTGTGTTTGGAATCATGGGTACGTGCACATACATAAGCATTCATCTATATATACTAGAAAACTCTACCAAGACTATGAGTTACGTTTTAAGACTCATAATGTTTAATTACTACCCTGAAAATTTGCAGGTAACATCATATCATTCGTCGTGTTCTTGGCCCCAGTGTAAGCATCAACATGTTCTCACAAAGTCTCTCCTTTTTCTTCGTCGTTGTTTAGAAATAAATAAACGTTTCTTTCATATTATTTAGGCCCACGTTTGTACGGATATGCAAGAAGAAATCAACCGAAGGATTTCAGTCTCTTCCCTATGTTTCAGCTCTTTTTAGTGCGATGCTTTGGATTTACTACGCTATGCAAAAGGATGGCTCAGGCTTCCTTCTCATCACCATAAACGCTGTTGGATTGGTCATCGAAACCATCTACATCGTCCTCTTTGTAACCTATGCTAACAAGAAAACTAGAGTATGTTGAAACACCTTTTTTATACCTATATATAATTTTATCTTAGGTTTCACGTTGATCATAAACATGCACATGCACATATGTAAATGCTTTTGTATCTGGTTTGCTTATAACTAGAGGCTTGAAACGATGATGCAGGTATCCACTTTAAAAGTTCTTGGTCTCTTGAACTTTTTGGGGTTTGCCGCCATTGTTCTTGTTTGCGAGCTCTTAACCAAAGGTTCGACACGTGAGAAAGTTCTCGGAGGGATTTGCGTTGGATTTTCCGTCAGTGTCTTCGCAGCTCCTTTGAGTATCATGGTACGTTCTATTACATGCATATATACATTTATAAATACGAACGAGCCATGTTTTACGTAATTTGACCTATGAAGAACATAATAAATACTCCTGTTAATGTAAAGTATGTCTTGTCATTGCTTTATATTACATAGTTTTCACGTTGGGAATATTAAAAATGTTAGAAACTACTATTTTTGGTGCAGAGAGTGGTGGTACGAACAAGAAGTGTGGAGTTTATGCCTTTCTCTTTATCGTTGTTTCTTACAATTAGCGCCGTCACGTGGCTCTTCTACGGTCTCGCTATTAAAGACTTCTACGTTGCGGTGAGTTTATTTATACAAAATTCTCAATTATTTTATTCTGTTCCGATCATTTTTAAGCATAAAGGACAGCTAGCAAAACATTATATGAGTAGATTATTATGGGTGGTTCTTTAATAAAGTAAAAACAGTAGTTACCTTTGTCCTTTTTTTCCTCACTTCAAATTATATACGTAAAGGCTTTTAGTCTAATATGAATGTCGTGGCAACGAATATATGATTTTGAACCGTACACATTACTTCGCTTTATTACTAGCATTATATAAATAATTGGACCCCCACTAAATGTGCTAATAAATTGAGAGTACAATAGGATACTAAAAACAAAAAATCTAATTTGTTATGTTGTGATGTCGGTAAATTTTCATTTGTTATTTTTCTTTGCCAACTTCTTTTGTCGACAAGAAATGGAATATTAATGTCCTTTACACATATTTGTTTACTATTGAAGCTTCCAAATGTATTGGGCGCGTTCTTAGGAGCTGTTCAAATGATTCTCTACATAATTTTCAAGTACTACAAAACTCCTGTGGCTGAGAAGACAGACAAATCTAAAGCCGTGTCCGATCATTCCATCGACATAGCAAAGCTAACCACCGTTATACCCGGTCCAATTTCGGACTCAGCAGTTCATCAACCGCCTGTTATTCACAATGTTCCCGAGACTCAAATTCAAGTGACTGAGGTCAAGAGCCAAAACATAACTGATCCAAAAGATCAAATCAACAAGGATGTCGAGAACCAAAGTCAAGTTTAAGTAGTGAATCTTATTTAGAGACTCATTAATAATGCATTGTTTGAGTTGTGCACTCTAGCTAACTTTCCTTCTACTCTAGCTTTTTCGATTTTGTGGTTCGTCTCTTTAAATCTTAGTTCTCCTGTACCACTTTTTTCTTATCATTTTATTTTCCAGGGTATCTGGAAATTGTGTTATGATCAATAAATAAGTTGTTTTCTAAAATAAAATTTTAACTTATCTCTGCTCTACTAATAGTCATTATTATTTGAATCCTCTCTTGATTGATCATAAGAAAAAAAAATAACATCATTAATTTGCTTCCGAGGTTCTACTTTTTAGAGACTATACACCATCAACTTCAATTGAAAATCCTTAACAAATTGGTGCACGTTATAAGTCACGGCATGGATTAGGCCTCTTGAACGAGACAGGCCCAACTTCTAGTGGCCTTGAAATATTTTTTTACGAGAAGTGGAACATTCCGAAGTTAACTAGAAGGCTTAAGCAATTATAATCAAACTAAATTTAACTTAAAGCAAATGATTATAACATGCAAAAAAAAAGAAAATGATAATGGGAATGAATTATACTAGAGAGTAGAAATTGGTCGGGTAAAATTTCCCTTTGCTAGAGTGGGATACAACTCTGGTTTACTAAACCCTTTAACAAAAAAAAAAAAAAAACTCTGGTTTACTAAGAAACCCAAACATTAAAGAGGCATACTCATTTTGAGTTTAAGAGTTCGCAACTCTAGAAAACAAACAAAATATTTATAAGGATCTGAAATCAACATCAAATTTTCTGAATCGTACCGTTCCACCTAAGATTTTGTCCTCGTGATTTTGCTACACATGTGTACAAATTTGTACAAATTTACAAAAGTCATTTTGAATCTAACAATTTCTTTTTTGGTAATATAAACCAGAGTTATATAATATTTAGCCTACAAAATGTTTTACGATAAAGATACAATAAAAAACATACTTCCGTCAAATGTTTAAAGATTAATTTCTTCCATCAAAGAAAATTTTGCAAACATCAAGTAAGTTCACCATTTTTTTCTACAGTCGATGGGAGCTTAATTACAATAATTAGTTTTATTGTTCTTTTTTCTTGCAAAACTTGGATATTGTATTGTGTATATAGGAATATATTTGAATTAGCATGTATAAGAATTGAAGACATAGATAGTACGATAGTCCTTAATCAAGAAAAGACACTTACGTAAGATCATACGAGAGGCTCCAAAATTTGAGGCTCACATGGGAACCCCAAAGGGGAATAGGAAATGGTCTACCACACACAAAAGTCTTTTGTACCCATTTATACTTTCACAACGGTCTTCTTGTCGAGATTCCACGTCCATTATTTACGTTTAATTCTTCTAACTTATATATATATTTTTCATTTATACGAAATGAATCAACATATCATTATTTTTTGTATCTATGCACTAGAACATAATTATCTTTTTCATACCAAATAAGAATTCAAGTACGGTTTTTTATTTGGAAAAAATAATTGTGGAATGTGAATTCACTATATGTATCAACTATGAAATAATTATAAACCAACCGTGTAAAACTTGGACAAAGGTAAGTCAATCGATGAATCAACAAGCTGTTTTGGTCCCCGACCAGAAGATTGATGTTGACTGGTTGAAGATGAAAGGTGACATTGGACAAAACCGACAACAGCAATAGCATCAGATTGTTTGTCTTAACCGCCACATGTTTACATTACAGATACACGGCGAAATTCATGCAACCCCAAATGAAGCCCTTAAGTTTTCAAAGCCCATTGGAATAGAAAACCGACATTAACCAATTAAATAATATCCGGCAGCTGAACCAAATCATGCGACCTATTATTACTTATGTCACTATGTGGTGTCAGAAATCAAAGTGGCATCAAAATGAGAGAGAATGCTTCGGAACCACATAAAAGATATTCCACTATGTGCTGCGTTTATTTTCTTACACAAGCAAAATTACATCGGACACCACAAGCAGAATTACTTAGATATTAGGAGTACTTGTAACCAATGACAAATAGTGTGCGAACAATTAAGAAACTAGCTAAAAATATGATTTGTTTGTCAGATTTTGAACATAAAGATGATTTTACTTTTTATTTAAAGATTACGGGATTGATGATTTTTCTAATAAACTATTAATTTTGTATATGGGAATCTAAAATAAAATGGAAGTTAATGTTTAGATTATAGTTTAGCTTTTGTTAGGACGACATGTTATAAACTAGAAATAGAAATCCACATATAAAACATAATATGTTACATGAATAAATAAGATGTTATTGAAAAGATCAAATTTTATATATGGTTTCTATAAAAGTTAATGAAGGATAAAATTTAAATTGCAAAATATAAATTTAATTTTGTCTTATTTCTATTTACATAAATTCCTACCATTTACTTTCTCTCATATATCTTGTCATTGGACTCTATCAAGAAAACACTCATTAGGTTAGCTTTTTTAACGTGAATGCAAGAGCTCAATTATTATTTGATTGAAGCTCAGACATATGATTTACTTAAGGCTTAAAAACGATCACGTAGCGCAAGCAAATGTTCCGAAAACGTAACGAGAATCAAATTATAGGTCTTTGTAAAACGAGACTTTTAACTAATCAATATTCAAAAGTAAAATTGCTACAAATCACTTAATGAAACAAGAAATTAACAAGAAACTTCATTAAAAGTTAAAACTGAAAAGTGTATTCATAGAAAAAAGAGAGTCAATTAAATTTCCTAATATGTCCATCGTGCGTAGATGTCAATGATGATCGAATATTCAAGAATTTTTTTATTTTTTTCTTCTTATTTTTTAAAATACCACTTTTTAAGAATACAAAGATCTTATGTGAGGGCGGTGCCATTACTCTCACGAGGAAAAACGAATAAGAGAATCTTTGCGTACGTAAAACAGAACATTCTCTTACAATGGAAAAAAGAAAACAGATCGGCTCTAAGACACTGGATCTGTTCACAGTTCCCGTTTACAATTTGATCGTAAAGATTCTCAGTATCTTTCACAGCCATCAATGTCATACACATCATAAAGGTTACTCTAATTAAGTGGTTATCGCCAAAACCATTTTACGTCCAACAATTAATATTAAGGTGGTCATAGTATTAGGGATGAACAGTTTGATTTTTTTGTAAGTATCTTTCGTTAATTTACTTTATATGATATCTAAATACCCAAAAGAAAAAACTTTTCTATGATACCAGCTGTTGTCGTTCCAAATAAAATGAAGTTACCCTTTATTACTGGTAGTCTGGTCTATCCTCTTTGTTGTCAAAATATATATATACTTGCTACTTAAATTGTAATTCAAATTGGGTATTTCATTAACTAAGACATACGTTGTAATCGTGATTAATGTATATGTTGTTGCATTAGCATATTATCTCAAAGTGTATACAGAAAGAACATGCAAACTATCTACGATTACATATATTTCAAAAAACTATCATTTTGTATTTGACGTTATGTTTTTCACATATCTAAAAACAAATTTCAAAAATGCACTGAAAAAAATAAAATAAAAAATAAACTAATTGTGGAAATAAGGAAATATCCTAAAAGGACTCTTGTCATAAAACGAAAGAAAATTAGATATAAGATCAAAAGCCAAAAGGTATAGGACTACCACGCTAAAATGTTGGTTTCTTTTTAGATAACGATGGTCCAACTGGACTCTGTAATTTCTTTTTGATTATGCACTGGTTGAGCATTGGCAAATTAAATATAAAAGAATCATATAATATGGTTCGAAAGTTTTAGAGCAATTATGGAGTTATATTCCAAAACTATTAGCTCTGCGAGAAAACAAAGACAATAGGCGTTACGAGTAGATTTTATTCAAAGAGTATTTAAAATAGTGGATGACAAACTCCTATGAACTATAGAATTTTACTATACGTATATTATTTAGCGAGAAACTATATTAATGAAATTTCGCATTATTCGTTTGTTAAAGTAGTACATGGTTCAATAGATATGCGGACTAATCCAAAAGTCAACCAAAACCAATTGCAAACATAAAAATAATTATAAGAAGAATGGACCAAAAACTTATAAGAAGTTAAGAACTATAGAAATTCGTGACAAGATATAAGTGAATTACTAAAGAGAAAACATATTACATGAGTTTTTCTTAACTAGTTTAACAAAACTGAATATGGTTTAACTTATACACACACTAACCGAAAAATAAGCCAATCTAGACATGATTATAGAATTTAGAAACCAATTACAGTATTATATTACAAAACTTTCCCCTCACAATAAAAAAACTAAAAAAAAATTTGAGGAAAAAAGCTAATTATGTAAAATTTTAAAAACCTAAATTTATTACACCACAAAATTATGGAAAAGAGCAAGATGTAATATATTTGTAATGAAATATTTTTCAAACGAGCATCAAAATTCACCTAACCCAACTTCTGAACACTATGATAATTTATTCAATATGTTTAGTATGTCTATTATAAACGTGATTACTTGCGATGTAAATATAGCGCGGTACTACAGTGGATCTTCGATAGGATTTAAGTAAGTGGAATCAAATTTAGGGTTTTTCACTTTGATACACTACAAGAGAGAAAATCGTTGCATATATCTCTTTGTTAAATTTGTAAAGGTGTCTATATACAAAAAATATTAAAGACCCCAAAAAATTAAAAATTTTACTTTGTTTTAATTATCTTTCTTTGGTTCCCCGCTAGCTCAATTGTATAGGACTGATTCGCTGACCCGTATAAGCCCGGATCACTTATTTGCGTTTTTAGGTTTCGCTCTCCTAAACTCGTTGGAAGGTTAATGATTGAAAACAAAAAGCCATTAATTCATACCAATTTATATTGTATATAGACAAGAAAAACAAATACTTTACATCACAAAATGATAAACCAAATAACTCTACACATTGTGGATCCACCTATTAGAAGTGTATTGATTAATGAAGCTTGCATCATTTTTTCAAAGAGATTACATACCTAAATAAAATGTTGGGGGAATATATATACTCTTTTTTTTTCGTTTTATTTTTGTTAATATGTTGGCGGAAAGATTTCAAAAGGGAAGTTCCCTAAACAATACATTGACATTTAGAAAACGAACTATGAGCATGACAATTCGGTTTAGGTAAAAGACCAACTTGCTCTCATTGCACTTGCAAAACCCTAAGCAAGAGAGTTGAAAACAGTAAACGTCTGAACACCTACTTGGTTGGTGACACGTCAGAAAGGCCAAAATTTTGGTCCACTAGAATGTACCAGAATGGTACTTGCAAGATTTTTAAGGTTTTAGTGCTCATAAGTTGCTGAGCTGGATAGATACCCACCCATTTTAGGTTTTAGGGTTTTGATTATATCCCACAAATTTTATGAGATAAGATTTTAGGTTAATTTCGCATGCCGACATCAATGTGCGCACAACATCATTCGTTTCTATGTTTTTTTTTACATTTGATGAATAAAAACAATGGAGAAATTACCCTTCTCATCAAAGATATTATTATAGAGTGGAAATAATGTGAAATTTCTTGAGATGGAGAGGATTCTATTCCTCACATTTTTAAACAATATATCTAGCTTATATATTTCATATTTTAATTTAAAAAGACTTACTGCTTTATTATATTGGTCACCTCAAAATTGATCCCACCCAATTACAACATTTTTGTTAAAAATTCATACACGACTAACGCTAATAGAAATGATTATTATGCTATTGTGACCAATACTATTCTTTTTGAGGAAACTGAGTACTCAAGTAAACTGAATCATGTTCAGGTATGCATATCTAAAAGGTCATGGAAATGATTTAACCATTTACATAAAACACAGAAATTAAACTACGTATAATATTAAGTACATGAATCATAAAATCGATAGATATGGGTAAGATTAGGCTTAGGTTAAAGAGAAAAAAAGGGAACCTTCCGAGGCAATGGGGCATGAAGTATATACAACTGTAAAGTAGAGATAATGCTCTTTGATTCTTTTTTTCCCCCACTATACACATCCCATTGAGTTCAAACTCTTCTTTCTCTCTCTCTAGGTCTCTCACTCACAGACGCATTTTGCAAGTTGATACACTTTTCTTCTCCCTATATAAATCACTACACTTCTTAATCAAAAATTGTATCATACATTGAACAGATTCTCAGTATGATCCTGTAGAGTTTACTCGTTCGTTCACTTGTATTCTCTTTCATAGAGGACGAGAGAGGGAGAGTTTCTAATTAATTAGAAGATTTTTCTTTCTTTATTTTCTAAACAAGTATTACACTACTTTGAGAGATATAAATATTAAAATGGCAATTTCACAAGCCGTCTTGGCTACTGTCTTTGGCATCCTAGGTATATCATTTGTTCTTATTCTTATTGCGTTAGTGACTTAGTAAGATACATATATCATATATATCTTCTCACGTTTACGTACGTATACATTTAAAATGCATGCATTTACATGAAATATCATGAATTCTAATTAACCTAACGATAATTATTTTGTAGGGAATATCATCTCCTTTTTCGTCTGCCTTGCCCCAATGTAAGTACTTTATAAATCTTTGCAATTTTGTCTTATATAAAAAACGTTTTAACTCAAGAATTTACGTGTTGTTTATATATATATTAGACCGACGTTCGTTCGTATATACAAGAGAAAATCATCTGAAGGGTATCAGTCGATCCCTTACGTGATTTCTCTGTTCAGCGCGATGCTATGGATGTACTATGCAATGATCAAGAAAGATGCTATGATGTTGATCACCATAAACTCCTTTGCCTTTGTCATACAAATCGTCTACATCTCCTTGTACTTCTTCTACGCTCCTAAGAAGGAAAAGGTCCTTATTCTATATGAATATAACTTATTGTCTTGTTTTTACACCACAATAATTACTGCAGCTTTAACGGAACGTTTTGTTTCAATATGGCAGACTCTAACGGTGAAGTTCGTCCTCTTTGTGGACGTTCTCGGTTTCGGCGCAATCTTCGTGTTGACATACTTTCTGATTCATGCCAATAAACGTGTTCATGTTCTTGGATACATTTGTATGGTCTTTGCTCTATCTGTTTTTGTTGCTCCCCTTGGTATCATTGTAAGTCTCTCTTCTTATTTATGGTTTAAAATCTTCTTGCATATTATCGGCTAAATCTTAAACATGATAAACATCAATTGACACACAGAGGAAAGTGATCAAAACGAAGAGCGCCGAGTTCATGCCATTCGGTCTCTCCTTCTTCCTCACCTTATCGGCTGTCATGTGGTTTTTCTATGGGCTTCTCCTTAAAGACATGAACATTGCCGTAAATCTCTACTAGTCTTCATATTTGTATTTCTTAGTTATTATGCTCGATCGAGCTATCGCTAAAAGCCTAAAACCTAATGTTTTTTTAACCTTGACATGTTTTTCCAGCTGCCAAATGTTTTGGGTTTCATCTTTGGAGTACTTCAGATGATTCTTTTCTTGATCTACAAGAAACCTGGGACTAAAGTCTTGGAGCCACCAGGGATTAAGCTTCAGGACATATCTGAGCATGTCGTCGATGTTGTGAGGCTAAGTACGATGGTTTGCAACTCACAGATGAGAACTTTGGTGCCACAAGACAGTGCCGATATGGAAGCAACCATTGATATAGATGAGAAGATCAGAGGAGACATTGAGAAGATTAAGGATGACAAAGAAGCATTTCTTATTTCTAAGAATTAATTAGCTTTTAACTATCAAATGTCATTGTGTGTGGGTGTGTATCTCAGTTTGCTTGCATGTTAAGTTAGGGTTTAATCTTTAATTTGGGTTTGATCTGCGATCATCGTGCATCTCTCCCACCTATCTGTGATCTTTGTCTCTCCCTCTCTCATCTCGAATGTAAGATATGTCTTGTTAAATTAAATAAATGAATATGTCGTTGTCTATTATTATGTATTTATTGGTTTCTTTTTGTAACAAATAAAATTATCTGTGTGTAGATAATGGCGGATTTAGCCATTTAGGTAACATAAATACATAATAAATCAATATTAATTATCTACTTCAATAATTCGAAGATTAGATTAATTATTTTTTACATATAAACTACAAATTGCTTATGGGCCATAGGCCATAACATGGCCCAATATTAAGAAAATGGAATTGAAATCAAATAAGGAAAATAAAGTGGAGCATTGAAAATGGCAAAATGCAAATGTAAAGAACAACCAAGCAATCGGAACAGTGGTTATCTTTTTAACTACCCAAATTTAAAACGTTCTAAACCATGCACCAATTTCGATGATGTTGAATAGGGAAATACTCCAAGAGTAAACTTCTCATATACAATAAATCTGGCTTTTATTTTTAGACTTTCTTTGATGAATCAAGAGATGTCATGTCCCTCAAGATATAGACGGATCTATATGATCATGTAAGTTAATTTGGTTAGTTTAATCATACTGACTACAAAAACAGATATTTGAGGATTTAGGAGAGGTTGGAAATGCCGAACCAAATTCAAATGTTTCAAACATTAAACCAACAACCTCACTTTACAACAATATCCTACTTCTCTACTAACTCCGTTGTGGTCAGGTCCGAGACCACACACCACTACAAAACGTTGATGTTAAAGCAATCAACCTAATCAGTCAATTATGTAAGATGCCTCTCAATACTATCATCAATGCACCTCTAACATCTGCGTTGAACGACTTATCTGCCTCGAGCTTTTCCATCTAACAACTTTTGGATTGTGTTTAACGCCTCCTGCAATCACAAAGTTAAGTCATTCTATTTCTTGAATCTAAGAGACTATTTAGAGAAATGAGGTTTGAACGGATGGGAACCTCTAGCTTAATTCTGAGATTTTCTTCCTCCTTGTCGCGTCTGTCTCTATCCTCTGCGAAAACATCGATTAAACTTGCTTGCTCTTTATCCATTTCTTCTAACTTGACCTTTAATGTTTGAACCTGCAATGACAGGAGGATCCATAGGTGAGTGATGTTACAGGTTTTCAGACAGACACAGTTAATGTCCGAAAGTAGAAGTTACCTCAGCTTCAAGTGTCTTGCGAAGCTCTTTCTCACGTCGCAGGTCCTTTTGCAGTAACAGGAAGACTTCTTCTTTTTTATTGAGCCTGAGAAACAAAAAACACAGCTTTCAATGTTCACACAAACAAGAAACATGAATCTTATAGGCAAATTAACATGGTACGTAAGGTGGTAACAAACCTGTCTCTTAACTCATTATTCTCTTGTTCCAATTGACTGAGGGTACGCGAGCCAGACTTAGGCTTGGGTAATTCAGAACTCTGAGAGAAGAGGTAGAAAAGGTTATATTCTCAATCCTATATACCGGAGAAAGTGCCGATAGGAGGGAAAAAAAGAGAGGATGGGACCTTCTCAGGAAGCTCAGTGACATTTCTTTCTGGTGAAGAATCATAATCATCATCACTATATGTGACCTCCACAGCACGAGCTAATTGAGGCTTCGCTTGTTTGTCAGATTTGGAAAAGGAGTTTCCAAGTTTACCACCACCTTTCCCTGATGATTTATACCCAATGTCTTTAGAATCTTTCACAGATCCTTTTCCTCCTCGAATAACATTTGATCTTGTGTTGAATTTTTCTGAAGCTGCGGTTGGAGTATTAAAGTTCGGAGCAGCAGTTGGGGTTTTAAAGCTCGAAGCAGCGTTCCTTTTCCTGGATGAGTCAGATCCTTTAGGATCATATTCTGGTGAAGATTCTACAATGAGGGAAACATTTCCAAGAGATTGTTCAGTACAAGTTAATGTTCCGATGTTAAAACCGATAAAAAGATATTGCACCTCTGTCTTCAGTATCCTTAACAGACTTTCTGCCTTGCCTTGAAGCATATCCAATTTTGTGACAATTAGATCTCCTGAGTTAACACAGAATGAAAACATCAACCCAAATAGTCTAATGAAGCAGCCAAGCTTAGGAAGCATGAGTTAAAATGCACTAGAAGAGAATCAGACCAATAATTCTTCTGCATTTGAAGTAGCCGTGCCTCGAGTCTAGACAAAACTGTTGTGCGCTCAAACCCTTGCTTATCATGAGCAGGCTCAACAAAATTTGCTTCCAGGACACCTTATTAGCAGAATGAACTAGCATTAGACTTCTCGTTAATAAGGCTAATCAAATATTAGACCTTCTAGCTAAAACCAATACCTATGACCCCACGACCATCACTTCCTGCTGCATTCCATATCCTCCAAAATGGCTGAAAACAATTGAGAAGATATTAAACGAAAGTGTAAAGTTGATCTAATTTTCGCCAGATTTTTTGAAGGCATAGTGTAAAAAAGTAAGCAAAAAGAAACAGAAACCTTAATAAGGCGATTTTTGTGGTAAACATTGAAGCCTTGAACATCCACATGATGTTTTGCATCTTTCACAAATCCAATGGTCACAACAGCAGACAGCTGTGCAAGATGTCACACACGCAGACAAATGTTTTAGTTATCAAAAAGCTGCATGATATCATTAATAAAATTACAGGAAGAAATCTAACTATGTTAAATTATGAAAAACATACATTTGAGTACTTAGCGCATCCATCAGCCCCTTCTTTTGGCCGATAAGTAATTTTTTCTGTCTGCATCATGTCATTTACTATGTTGTGATGCTCAACATCTTTTCCTCGGAGAATGATACGGAACTCACGTGGAATCTTTAGGTAGAGAATAGATGCATAACTCTGTGAACATAACAAAAGGTAACAAATAAAACCTTTAGAAGAAATGAAAATGCAGCCAACAAATAATGGGATTCATAATCATTCAAAATCAAGCTTTTGATTTCTACCCACTACCAGATTCCTCAGTTTCGATAATTTAAGAACTACCACTGTGATTTTAGCAGGAGACTGGACCAAACTAACTTCGAAAATAACCACAACTAAGGAAAGATGGAAAGAACGTATATACCCTGAGTGAGTGCTTGTACGTCAGGTAATGTCTAGAGTTAGGGAATTGAGAAGCCATATCAATATTTTTCTCATCCCGATTGACCCCTCGAAGCTGGATATCCTGCAAACAAACCATATGTCAATTACATGAATACAGAAGCTTCTGCATCATTGCACAACGTGATCTATGCATATCCAGCAATAAAAACACATACATGTGGATCAGTGTCAAAATCAAGTTCTAGCATTCCTTGGTCATCTTCCCAGAGGTTATATATGATTATCCTTGTCCCATGTTTCTTCACTAGATTAAACTACAACAGCCGGAGCAATAGATTAGTGGAAAAACTCTCACAATATCAGTAAAGAGGTAGAAGCTTTTGAGAACCCACATCAAATGAATGATAAAGAACTCAATCCATATGATATATAGCTACAGAGTAATTCTGAAAAAATCAATAGAACCGAGTCCTTTGTTTTTCTATAGGTTCTCCTTGTAATAAAAGCTCTCTTGGAACTAAGGAAAAAGCTTTACCTGACGAAGAAGATCTTCTTCAGTAGGAAACGGCGACCATTGAACTACTGTTTCCACATTTTTCTCCCAATCACTAACTGATGACCTCGTTATTGGACACCATTCAGAATCTCTTCTTTCATAGTCAAGCTTTCATTTAAATCATCATCAGAAGAAGATTAGAAGAGAGAAATGGGCTACAAAAGCCTAAGAAACACTTAAAACATTCATAATGGATATGAAGCAATTTCAATTGTGTGAGCCAAGCGATATGTTGAGAACAGTTAGATGTTTGATGCCTAATTATATGAAACTTCTAAAGAACAAATAAATTTCGGACATCATATTTCTAATAGGATAATGATAGCTTTCTCTGCTGACTATATTTTGCTCATCTGAAAAAGAAAGTTGAGTAGACATATTTCTGCTTTAACATTTCCTTCAACTTGAAATAAGAACAGTATTTTGAACAAAAGATGATCTGAAACGAACGGTGTATGTAACTTAATCTATGCTCAATATTTAATCACATTCTAACAAACATCCGAAATTATCAAGTGAATTTTTTACCCTAACAGTTCCATACAGTTAAATAAAGGTAAATTACCATGGGTACAACTATGTCTTCTTTTCCCGTGCTCTTTAGAAATGTATATGATAGAAGCCCAATGCTCTGTGTCGAGCTAAAGCAACATAAAAAAAATAGAACTATGGTCAGATGTATATAACTTTAGCTGTAGTTGATTTTCTCAATCAATACTATATAACCATTAAAAACATGATAGCTGAAAGAAGTAATGGCGTGGTAACAGATAACAAACCTCTTTCCATCTTTTCCAAGGCAACGAGAGAAAACAATGACATCAGCTCCGAGTCTCATTGTACTAGTCTTGAATCCATTGCCATCTAGAAGAAGTATATGAATTTAAGTGTATTGATCTAAAACATTTGATACACATTTATCTTGCAGGAAGAAGAAATGGTTACATTGTCCAATGGTATCTGCAAGTTTGCTCTTGGCCGAATATCCAAGAGACATACAATGCCGCATCTTTTCAGGATTCATCCCACCTCCATCGTCTGCATTTCAAACATAAGGATTAAGAAAACGCTGCATCGTCAAAACTTGATAAAACAAAAGAAATACTAAAATCAACTGTATACCCTCGATTACAACCATCTTGCTTCCATCTTTCTTGTTCTCGATCATGTCTACATTAACATATGTAGCTCCAGTATGAACCTGATAATCAAAAAGATAAGAAACCAATACTACCAATTGCCAAACCTTTGTAATACTTCTAAAAATTGAAAAAAAAAAAAAACACACCTCATCCAAAGCATTGTCCAAAAGCTCAGCAAAAGCTGCAAGAGATAACATCATTTTCATTGCATAAAACATTGTTCAATAGACTGAATCAAACTTCATTCAAAAACATACCTCCAAGAGACCATTTGTGACTAGTTGCATTAGAATGCAGGAACTTAGGATGTACTCTCACATGATCAAAGCCACCTAAAACCACAATTTCCACAAACCAAATTTATCATCCTAAATTCAATTAACAAAGAATCAGAGAAATATAAACACAATCACAAAAACAAAGTAACCTGCAGAAACTTCCCAATCACCACCAGATGTTCCTTCATAATCACCAGCTTTCCAAAATTGCTTACAACTTCCCCAAAGCGAACTAGGCGCCGCCACAACGTTACAAGGCGTAGCCGGAAGAGCCAAAATCGCTTGTCCAGACGAAGTCGATTGTAAAAACCCTTCGTCATCCTCCGGAATCATAACCGCTAATTTCTTCGCCGGTGAAGCTATAGAATCACTTCTCGCTCTCTTCGTTCCAGAAACATCTCCACCGGTTCGGTCTACGCTTTCGATATCAGCGATTCCGTCGAGATTTTCCCCTAACTCGGATCCTTCGTCGCTACTACTAAGTTCGATAACGGATTCTCGCGGCGGAATGGTTTTGTTTCTAGCGGCGGGTTTCCAAGTCGAGAGAGTAGTCGAAGTAGTTACCGGATTCTCTTGCTTCACGCGAGTTTCCATTAAAACGAAGAAGAACTAGAACACAAAGAGACCAAAAAGAAACAGAAGCGAAACTTTTGAATTGAGAAGAAGAGAATGATGATGAAGAAGAAGAAGAATCGATTTTTTTGTTTTGTTTGTTTCTATTTTTTCGAAAAGTTGGGAAAAACTAAAAAGCAATTACAGTGATAGATCTCGAGAACTGCGAAAAAGGTTAAAAAGGTAATTCGAATTTACTGACATGGAAACGATGTCGTTTTGGTCCCTTTTTCCCAACCTTTCCTCTTTCTCTGTGTTTTTGTTTCGGCGGAAGATTGATAGTCAAACCGCCTTTTGAACCTATTAATTTGGCTGTAAACCGATTACCAAGAAATTTTAAGTAATGATTATCATAAATTTGGTACGGATCTGAGGTTTACTCTCACGCATTATAAAAATTTCCCTAACAAAATCTTAATCTTAAAAAATTTTCTATATTTTATTCTCACGCATTATAAAAAAAAAAGTAGGAATTTTGCTAATATTTACCGTATAAATGGATGTATGAAACATTCGGTTTATTAGAATCCAAATCTCACCATATTGTTGAGGTTGTGGACTCTTCAAAAATCACTATTTGTAAGGAAATTCTTTCTCAACACATTTTTTTTCCAGCATTTTCATATACTCTTTCAAGATTCTTATTTATTTTCAATTACGATATCGGAAAAACTAGTTATAAAATATATTTCTCTTATCTTTTAAATTTTCTATCCTTATCGGTTTATATTTTATATAGATTATGATTCGCTAATTTTATCGTTAACAAAATCTTATTAAGATTTTTTTATAGATTTTATTTTTAATTAATGACCGGAGAAATTATAGCTTCAAAATATCAGTTTAAAAAAATAATTGAATTGTGGTCTAAATTCATACTTTGATGGACACTTTGTGAGCTTAAGGATGGTTTGTGGCTCACCATTAGCCTTACTAACTTTTTCCAAAAGTGATCATTTATCTTGTAGATCATCAATGACGAGGACTAAGGGCTTGTTCTTTTCATTGTCACTAGCGACACCTTCCGGCGACCCATAACTACACTATCTTTCTCTTTCTTTATCAGTCCAGCGACATCTTCCAGCTACACCTCTCAACAATTTGTTCATCATTTTTCTGTCGCTGGTGTCGCTGTTTTTACCGGCGACGGTTTTAAATAACACGGATGCCATTGTTATTCATCTCTTTCAAAGTAATTGGTCGCTGGATTAAATATTTAGAAAAAATTCAGTGCTTTTTTATAGTCGCTAGCGACAATGAAAAGAACATGCCCTAAAAGCTAACAATTGAGGAAGGAAGAAAGTGGAAGCAACCCCAACGCGAAAAAGAAAAAGCTCAACCTTGTAAGCCACAACCTTTAAGCACAATCAAGTAATCTCAAGGATAAGCAAATGATTGTGGAAGAAAGCGAATCCGAGACCGAGTCTGAAAACGAGATCTCTACGACAAGAAAAAACGACGAGAATGAAACCCCTTTGCCTTCGGAATTTACAAGGAATTATTATTTGAAAAAAAATTATTTGGAAAAACTTAGAGCATGTATAGTGGGAAGAACTCGTATTAGTTTCTCAAATATATTATTTTAATAATTTTTATAAAAAAAAAATTTTATTTAAAATTTAAACTATAAATAAAATTTATAATCAATTATAGTGAAACATGTGTCAAATGAGTCTCTCACAAACTTTTCAAAGTCTCTCAAGTGAGAGACTCACTTTATTCTCTTTCTTACTTTTTGTTATTTTATAATTTTTTGTGGATAAGAGACTCATTGAAAGAATATCCCTAAACATGCTCTTATGTCAATAAGCTTCACTCAAACTAGATTTGGGACCATGGGTTTTGATTAAGGAACTTTGCTTGCACGAAGAAGTCCACACCATCTTCCAAAACATGGGCATATGCAAATTTTCTCTATCGGGCTACTTGTGTGTTGCAAATTGCAATTTCTCAATGGGGCTACCTGGGTCGATGGAGAGGTGATGGGCGCAAACTTCTCCGAATAAATTCTTCGTCTTTCAACTTATTTGTTATCCAAAATCTCTCTTTTAACTCTTTTACTCAAACCATATGCTACAACCTAAAAGGACAAGTGAAAGGCATAGACACTCTAAACCAACTATAAATGCATACAAATTTATACAAACTACTATCTAAAATCAATGAAAATCATATTTTTTTAAAAACTCATCATGAATGAACAATGTTTGAAAATAACATTTGGAAACAGAAATATATATTTTATTTTTTTCGCTTTTCTGGTTTTATATTAAAGTTGGACGATTAGATAAGAGTGTTTTAACGACATCTAGATTCGGATTGAACATTCCGGTAGAAAAGACAGAACATACCGGAATGAGGTTTGTAGATAATTATGCTAACACGTGTGGCCGTGTGTGGGCATATCAGCTTGTATGATTGCCACATTACCATGAAAGCTTCCAACAAGATAAAGCAAAAAAAAACTTAGAACGGAAAGAACAAGAAAAACCATTGTGAAGCAAAGTCCTTCATGCATGGATTCAATCAACAAGATCATCAACTTTGTGTTTCCTCTTTTAACCTTGTATGCACTTCTTGTCTTCTATCCAACTTACCAGAGGCTCAAATCCGCGTTCTACATCTACCGGAATCTGTTCTCGGAAAATGTCGCTGGAAAAGTTGTTGTCATCACCGGAGCAGCTTCTGGCATCGGCGAGGTAAGTCAACAAACAAACAAACAAAAAATGATGATTAGGGTTAAGAAAAAGTGGGTGTGATAGTGTGTGTATAGGCTCTAGCGTATGAGTACGGGAAGAGAGGAGCGTACTTAGCACTTGTGGACATAAGAGACGAACCTCTCTTCCATGTCGCGGCTCTAGCTGAGCTCTATGGCTCCCCTGAAGTCATCCCCATCATCGCCGATGTTTCCAAACTCCAAGATTGCGAGAACCTTTATTCGAGCCACGGTTCATCATTTTGGCAGATGTAAGATGTTAGTCAATAAGTATAATTACATTCTATATGGTTTGTTTGCATTACAATTTATGAGATAATCTTTTTTCGTTTTTGCAATTGAAATTGTAACCTAGAATCTAGTAGCTAGATATCTTTTTGTTTTTTTGAAGTACCAAACCCAAACGCAAACAGAAAAACATGTATTTGCTTTAGGAGATTTTGCGTTGACACTTTTACTTTTACACTTTACATAAAAACACAAAATGTGACATTTGAAAAATGTAATTATATTTTTTTCATGTATAAACACAAACATAGAAATTGGCGTCTAAATCAATCGCAACAAAATTAGGTAGGACAATCCAAAAAACTAGAAGAGAATATATATGAGTAAACTAAAATAGTATTGCTGATTTTAAAATTTTCTTAATTTCTTTATGTTTCTAATTTGGGCAGTGGATCATCTAGTGACAAATGCAGGAGTTGCTCCACTCTATTTGTTTGAAGACATCGATGATCTCTCTAAGGCTTCGCCGGCTATGGTCAAGTTACTCCAATCCGACCAAAGATGTCCCTAAGAAAGTTGTTTTGTACTAACCGGTTGTGATAAGTTTTTTTTCCTTCGCATAGGACATCAACTTTTGGGGATCTGTGTATTGCACCTTCTTTGCTTCTCCATACCTAAAGAAGTTTAGAGGAAGGATTGTGGTGATTGCTTCTGGATGTGGATACATTGCTTCACCTAGACTGAGCTTTTACTGTGTAACATTTTGTATCCATTTCCCTCTTCTAATTTACTAACCATCTGATCTCAAGATTCATTTGATACCTTAATTTCATGTTGAATCAGGCGAGTAAAGCTGCTGTGATCGCCTTTTATGAAACACTAAGAACTGAGTTTGGACCAGATATCGGGGTTACGATAGTAGCACCGGGGATCGTCGACTCGGAAATGAGCCGAGGCAAGTTCATGACAAAGGACGGTAAACTCATCGTCGATAAAGAGCTTAGAGATGTAAGCATTCCGGGAATCTCTAATGTTCTTGAATGGTTATAAGAAAATATGGCTATATATAACTAATGATTATTTGGAGTAATATCATGATAAACATAATGAATGAGAAATTCTAGTAAGATTAACTAACTTAAATATATATAGATTTACTAGTAAGATATTACCAGCGTCAATGGTAACTTTTTTGATGAAATCCAGCTATTCACTAATTTTTGCTTGATTGAGGAACCAATTTTTTAATGGTGGCATTCAAATTCATCAGTTGTAGTTACCATGAACAACTAGTTGCTATGTAAAATTGAGAGAAAGAATATATATGAATCAGGTGCAAATAAGCGTATTGCCGGTGGAATCAGCAGAAAGGTGTGCGAAAGCGATAATGAGGAGCGTATGTAGAGGAGATAGGTACTTGTTGGAACCCGACTGGATCGGTTGTGTTATATTGTTGAAGGTTTTTTGTTCAGAGGCAACAGAGTCGGTAGCCCGGTGGCTGCTGATAGTCGGACCAACATTTCCAATAACGAAGGCTCTTAGCAAAAAGATCCTTGATGTAGCCAATGTTTTTAGTTCCTTCTTCTCTTTACCTCATTATTAGTAATATCGATTTTTCAGTCTCTGTTTGTGTGTTTTTTTTTTACTAAAACTATACAACTTCGGGTTACCATATTAAATTGGCTAGCTTGAGATAATTAATGGGAAAAATGTCGAAAAATGCGCCAACTTTCAAATTTGGGACGATTAAAGCATGAACTCTCGAAATGTCTCTTTAATCACAAAGTTTCCGTTGACCTGTCTGAAAATAGCTAAGTTTTCGTTGACCTGGCCAAATTAGGCATCGCGTTAAGTCTCCGTTAGAACGATGCCGACGCTGTTAACAATCCGTTAGATTCTCCGTTCGATCAAAACGACGTCGTTTCACCAGAAAATAAGAAGGAAAAATGGCATTTCCAAAGAATCGAACTGCTGACTTGTTACACTAATAAGAGACACTCAACCATTAGGCTACGCGAACATTTTAATGTTAGTACAAACAGAACATGTATATATACTAAAAACTGGTAACATAAATTAGGTAAAAATATATGCAATTAATTAAAAATAACAAAAATAAAAAATAATAATAACCAAAAATACAAATATTAAATATACTTATCATAGTATATGTATCAAAATCTCAAATATTATTTTATAAATAAAGATTTCTTCCATATTTGGAAAATTATTCCTTCCGAAATTCCTTCTAATAAATTTTTTTTTAAATATATGACATGAAATTAATCATATAATTATGCGTTATATGCACCAATGATACATGCACCAACCACATTAAACATTTATACAAAGTTTAGGTTTTTATAATTTAGGAAATAATAATTTTTCAAAATAGAATAAAATCTTTATATATATATGATTAAATGTTTAAAATTTTGAAATATATATTTAAGGTAAGTATATTTAATATGTGTATATGTTTGGTTATTAATTTGTTTTTAATTTTGTTATTTTAAATTAGTTGCATATATTTTTACCTAATTTATGTTACCAGTTTTTAGTATATACACATTCTGTTTGTACTAACATTAAAATGTTCGCGTAGCCCAATGGTTGAGTGTCTCTTATTAGTGTAACAAGTCAGCAGTTCGATTCTTTGGAGATGCCATTTTTCCTTCTTATTTTCTGGTGAAACGACGTCGTTTGAAAACTTCAAAACGACGTCGTTTTGATCGAACGGAGAATCTAACGGATTGTTAACAGCGTCAGCGTCGTTCTAACGGAGACTTAACGCGATGCCTAATTTGGCCAGGTCAACGAAAACTTAGCTATTTTTAGACAGGTCAACAGAAACTTTGTGATTAAAGAGACATTTCGAGAGTTCATGCTTTAATCGTCCCAAATTTGAAAGTTGGCGCATTTTTCGACATTTTTCCCGATAATTAATACTATAGATCCTGTTCGGGTTACACTTATTTGAACAGTAGCAACAAAACACCAAATTTCCTCTTCCAAATATTCTCAATGCATCCCTTATGTTAAAGCCTCCAAGTACTCTCCTCGATCCTTTCATACATAGTTTAAAACTAACTAAAACACCAAATTCTTGATATTGCATTTAAATGCTAAATCTGGATGATGCATCTAAATGTTTATTCTACATGTAACATAAGTTTTTTTTTTCAATGACTCAATTATGAGTCACACACGTTGCATGATTCACCATAATTTGGAAAGAACTAAGATAATAAACAAAACAATTTAAACAATTTAAATACACACTTGGTATGAACCACACCAATTGCTTACATCATTTTCAACTTTTCATATGAGCCACAATTCTTTCTTTGCCGCCTCTTTGACGGAAAATTTTACTATTTTCAATCGGATACAAACCAAATTTAAAGTCGTCATAGATATAATTAATTAATATGATTCGTAATTTCCTATATATCCACTACAAGAAAACCTGCGTTTTGCAACTAAACTTTGCGACCGAATTATTAGTCGCAAATGTTTGCGACTATTTTGTGACTTCTTAACGACCATTTAGCGACCACAATATTTACCGATGGAATATAGTCGCTATTCCGCGACTAAAACAAACGGTCTTTACTTGGTCGTTATTTTGTGACGATGTTAAGACCGATTACAGACTAATTTAATATAGTCGCAACTCGGTAGCTGATCTGCGACTGATGTGCGACTCAACTTTTGGTCTCAAATGATCGTCGCAATGTAGTCTCAAATGTGCAACTAGTTAACAACCACTTGTTATAGTTACACTTTCGTTGCAAATTAGTTAGAAAGAGTTGGTATAAAACACGTTAAAAATGCAGCAATAGCGACCGGTTTGCAACTAGCACCTGAAGATTTTGCGACTGACACCTGATAAAGCGACCAGTTTGCAACTATTTACCAACTCTCGATTTTTGTTTTCTCAATTTTCACATTTTAAATTTGTTTGCATATAAAGTTAAACAATTCTACACTCATTTGATGTTACTTAGTAATAAAATCTTAACCAAAGACATAAATATTGATGTTTAAAAACAAAACATTCAAATCTCTTTGTCTTGTTACATTACTCTTATGAGTAATGTTTTGAGATTTAGTAAAATATCTATATTACTTGAGTTTTGCAAAAAATTTCAACCTTAAACTAATATATGTCCTCTATAACACTAATATGAGTGTTTTTGAGTGATATATATCACCATTTTGGATCACTATATGTAGATTTCTAAATTTTATCTTGTGACTAATAGATACCAGTCACAAGACAGTCGCAAAATTGCCACCAATTTGTAACGATTACGACGTTTGCGACTATTTTGCGACAACCGTTGTAACTATTTGCCGACCAATGTTGCGACGAATTTGATACTAATCGCGAAATTTCTAAGATTTTTGCTAAGTGTTTGTGCGGTTTCGATTCCCCCCCCCCCCCCCCCCCCCCCCCCAATCTACCGATTAAGTATTCTGGCAATTTGGCAACATTCTTCCCCTTGGACTTATAGGACAACTGTTAGAATCTACCCAAGTTTTTTTTCGTACAATTTAAATAACGTTGCTAATCAGTCGCAAATGTGCGACGAAGTTGCGACGAACATATATTGAAACTCTTGTTCTCGACCAATTTTTATTTTAGTCGCTAAGTAGTACATATTTTGCGACTAGCACCTGAAGATTTTGCGACTTTTTTGCGACTGGCACCTGACATAGCAACCGTTTTGCGACTATGTACCAACCCTCGATTTTTGTTTTCTCAATTTTCACATTTTAAATTTGTTTGCATATAAAGTTAAATAATTCTACACTTATTTGATGTTACTTAGTAATAAAATCTTAACCAAAGACATAAATATTGATGTTTAAAAACAAAACATTCAAAACATTCAAATCTCTTTGTCTTGTTACATTACTCTTATGAGTAATGTTTAGAGATTTAGTAAAATATCTATATTACTTGAATTTTGCAAAAAAATTCAACCTTAAACTCATATATGTCCTCTATAACACTAATATGAGTGTTTTTGAGTGATAAATATCACCATTTTGGATCACTATGTGTAGATTTCTAAATTTTATCTTGTGACTAATAGATACTAGTCACAAAACCGTCGCAAAAGTGCCACTATTTTGTAACTGTTACTAAGTTTGCGACTATTTTGCGACAACAATTGTAACTATTTGCCGACCAATGTTGCGACTAATTTGGTACTCTTATGAGTAATGTTTAGGGATTTAGTAAAATATCTATATTACTTGAGTTTTGATAAGTTTTTCAACCTTAAACTAATATATGTCCTCTATAACACTAATATGAGTGTTTTTGAGTGATATATATCACCATTTTGGATCACAATGTGTAGATTTATAAATTTTGTCTTGTGACTAATAGACGAAAGTCACAAAACGGTCGCAGTTTTGCCACCAATTTGTAACTATTGTTCATTTAGCAACTATTTTGTGATGAATAGTGCAACTATTTGCCGACCAATAGTGCGACTATTTAGCTACGGTTTATGAAATTTCTATGATTTTGGCTAAGTGTTTGGGCGGTTCCGATTCCCCCCAATTTTTTTACTTTGTCACTAATTTGCGACTAAAGAGCCACCAATACACTTAATTATTAGGTTAAAACAAAGTCGATTCTTCGCTTTCTCATTTCCCCCAATTTCGATCTAGGGTTTTCTCCTTCTCTCCACTTCACTACGATTTTCGATTTTCTTCTCAAATCTCCTCAAAAGTCTTCAAATCTTCTCAATTCGTCGAATCTCAGTCTCAAATCACTTCGTTCCTTTCCTCTGGAGGCGAGACCAGTCGCCGCGGAGGGAGCGAGACCAGTAGCCGTGGAGGACACCAGACCAGTAGCCGCGGAGGAGGCCAAACCAGTAGCCGTGGAGGACACCTCATTATTCTTATCGTTCTCTTCCTTTTTTTTTTTTTTGTAAAGTAACGCTCTCTCACTTTTTTTCTCCTTCACCTTCAACCCTAAATCCCCTTTCTCCATCTCCAAATAAACGACAAATCCTCTTATCCATACTTTGAAGATCCTCTTTCTCCATCTCCAAATTGTCGCTGCGTCATCAATCTTCCATATCTGAGAATAACCGATGGTACTAGATCCGCCGGGGGTCAAATTCTCTGATTTGGTCTGGTTCGAGCTCAAGTTTCCTTCATCCTGAATTGGGTCCGTTGGCTTCTCCATCTATAGACTTGGCTGGTTCCGTTGTGGTTCGAGCTATGGCGAAGTCTCAAACAGATCAGAGGAATAAGGTTACTTTCTGCAATTTCAAATTCATGAATCAATGTCAATTAGAAATTAATTTTGTGTTTGTTTTTTTATTGGATAGAGAGGAAGAAAGAAAGAGTCTTGGTTCGATGAATTCTCTAAGAAAAATCCATTATCAGTTTTTTATTGTATTCGTGAGTCTCTTTCATATCTCTCTATCATTATCAGTTTTCAACTTCTGGGTTTAGTTAACTTCTTCATCATTAAAATGCTGTTTCATGAAAATAAAAAGTCAAACCGGAGTTTGTTTCTATATCTAGTTTTGTTCGTTATTGATGTGAAAGTTTCTTAATACTTATATGAGTTAACAGCTTATTGTGAATTTGTGATGCTGAAGAGACTTGAAGGTGCTAAAACGGTGATGACAAGTGAAGAGGCGTTTGAGAATCATATGGAGTGAACTTAGACAGACGAGTTTTGTTCCGATTGGAGCTTACATTCAATTAAATGGGGAGGAAGAGAGTCATCTACTATTATCATCCCAATGGTAGTCTATTCAATCTCATTCACAATAATCTCTCTTCTTCTTCTATCATATTAGCTTTAAAATTTAATATAACTATATGCCTATGTCAATGAGCTATATTTTAAGTTTTGGTTTCATGTGAAGGGGTTTCAATAGTTTGGTGCAAGCTCTTTGTTGCCTATGTGCTCGATCAAGTATTTTGGTGTTGTCACTCAAAAGCTTCTGTTCTTTCTTCTCTTCTTCTTTTTACTTTTTGCTTCGATTGATATCACTCTATAAGTGTTTAAATAATTGTTGTTGATGATGTTTACTTCTTTGCTTTCTTTTGATCTTGTTTTGCTTTGGATTGTGTTATGATTCTGATCTTTGTTTAAGGAACTCAATTTTTTTTAGCATGATTACGAGTTTCAGATTGGTGTCTCTGTTTGTTGTTGATCTTTTCTCCATTTATTGTTGAAGCTGCAAAGATTTAGTACTTGTATGCTCTGGAATTTTACTAGACGTTACTTGGATCACATGTCATAATGACATAAGATGTGTTCATGTGTTTGTATGATCCGTTAGCTGTGACTGAAATTTTATGGTATTGTTTTGATTTCAGATATGAGAATGGCTGAATCTACTCGTATAATAGCGAAATACCCCGACAGAGTTCCCGTATGTTTTCTAAACTTTCCCTTTACAATGTTAGCTTATGTTTCTAATTAGAAACTAAATACATGTGATTGTGGGAAGGCTAGAGAGAGTGATGTTCCTTACATTGACAAGAAGAAGTGAGTAAATGATACACATTATCTCTATCTTTTTTGTGTGATTGTAATGGTACTACTAGCTGATGAGTTAGTCACTAAAAGGGAAATTCCGTTTTGGTGTTATATAGGCTTGTCTCAAACGTACATAGAGGAAAGACTCATCATTTCTGTGGAAGTTTTGCTGTCTCAAGTGAGTGCAGCCCAAGATATTGATGTCTCAAGTGCAGTCTCAAGTCAAGTCTCAAGTGAGTGCAGCTCAAAATCTATATAGATTAGAAATTAGGCTGGGCTTAGATGAGAACAAGTTTGTTAATTTTGGCACTTGTAATCTTAGTTTAAGACTTTGACTGAGGCTGTTTTCTTGTATGGTGTGGATGATTTATGAAATATAATGCTCTGATTAGGATGATATTTGAATGTTTTGGAAGTACTTGAATGATATTTGAATGGTTGAATGTAGCATTTGCTTTTGAAATGGACAGGTTTCGGATTAATAAGATGTAACTATTCTGTGACCAAACTGTTTAAGAAAATGTGACTAGTTTGTGACCAGAACAAGTAACAAATGTGACCAAATTGTGACTAAACATAATTAGAAATAACTCCAAATCTCGTATCAAATTGGTTACTAATAGAGGACTATTTTGTCACCAAATTATAAGAGTCTCAAATTAGTCGAACAATATTACCTTACTAAACCGTCGCAAACTAGTCGCAGTGTGGGACCAATTATGTGTGGTTACTATAGTCGCAAAAGAGTCGCTAACTTCTGTTCGTTGCTCTATAGTCGGACATTTGCAACGACATTCACCAGTCACAGATTAGTCGTTAATCTGCGACGATATATTTATAGTCGTTAAAGAGTCGCAATTTTGCGACTATCTTGCGACATGGAAATTTTGCGACCGTTTTTTAGCGACTACCCGAAATAGTCGTTAAACAGTCGCAAAACCCTCTTTTGCGACCGTTTAGCAACCATTTTCACAGTCGCAAATGACGTGTTTTCTTGTAGTGATATATAACTAATAGGATGCTTACCATTTACTCATTTGAATAATTCAAGTACTTAGTAGACGGGCGACGATGGTGCGTGCCTCTTAGAATCATGTAAGGAATTAACAACTCTTTTCGTTTCATTTATATGCGTCTTTTCAAAAAAGAATCGCACATATTAAAAGGTTATTATAATATGTAAGGTTCATTTTCTTAATAAATATACCTCTTATAGAAGTCTCGATTACTTTTTCCTTTGATAATAATATTGTATTTACATAGATAAAGGTGAATATTTTATTTATGTTTATATTGGAAAAATTAAATAATAAAAAAAGAACTGGATTTTTAAGGCTACAACTAAGTTACATCAAAAAAGTTTTTACTATAAGTTACATTTAAAAAAAAATAATTTAAAACCAGTTCTTTTTTTTTTAATGTAACTTTCTAAATTTAATTCTTTTGTAATTTCTATTATAAAAGTTCTATACATTGACTCTGTAATTCTGATTTGAATTCAATACAATTGTTGGCTGGAAAAAAGAACTACTACAATTCCATGATTTAATAACACCCCCTAAGATATCTCTTTAACTCATCGTCTCACTCATCCAAAACCTCTAGCATGTATATGTATATTAAAATACAAATCAGAAATCAAAGTATATTAAGTTACAAACCATATATCAATAATAACAATGTGTCAAATATGATATAAGCCGACATCAAAATATATATTGAAAGTAATTCAAGCTAATTATTTCAAATTTAGGAAGAAGTGAGAGGGTTTTCTTTCACATTTCCACTCATGCCAAAAAAAAGAAAGTATATGATAATGTTATGAACAAGAACTTAGATATATAAAAAGAAGAAAAAATTCAAAATCTATTCAACTTGAACAAAGATGGAGATCGAAGAAGCTTGTATGAGCCGTTCCGTTTCATGGCCAGAGGATCCGTACCACCACCACCGTATGATCTATATGGACTACAAATGAATCCGCAAACCGGAGAATTAGTGAAACCATCATCATCATCATAATCATCATCATCATGATGAACATTATTAGACTTCATATCCGCCAAAGCCTTGAAGAAGAAGTCAACCTCACAAGGAAGAACAATGGGTCCATCGCGTCTATATCCATACTCAGTCTCAGCATCTTCTAACAAGTTCTTGAACAAAGGATGGTTCAGAAGTTTTGTCTTCACGACAATTCTCTGTTTCGTGGGACCAACGTAAACCGTGAAAAATCCATGTGACGGCAACTCTTTCTTCGACTTTGCTTTTGATTCATTGCTCTTAGCATCCTCGAGACGAAAAGAGCCCTGGCAAGATTTGCTCTTCGTCAACGAGGGTGTGGTCGAAGAGCTCGTATGCCCAAAAGACTTCACTTTTCTCCATGTCTTCAATATCGGATTCTTCATTATTCCTATGAGAAGATGATGTATATTAAAAAAAGTTCTTCTCAATGACAGAATCAAGAAGTGTTTGTGGGTCAGACAAGTTTTGGTTGACCGTTTGGTTTTTATTTTTTTTGGTCTAATAATATATCGGCTTCTTCAATCTTTCTTATATATAGAAGATCTTGATTGGGAAAGAAGAGATAGGGTTTACTTTGATGACATTGACAAATTGATGAGGGCAGGCTTAACTTTTGTATATACCCCCATACTTCACCATATATGCACTCACGCTCTAATAATTGAGTTTGTTTATAATAGATTCTGATAATCTTAGTTATCTCCAATATATTCCATATTAAACAATAATTGTTTTTGACATCACTTCATAAAAAATTATATCTTTCAAGCAAATTATTGGGAATTTGGTATGTTTGTTTTATTCAAGTTGGTCAACGGAAATTGTTTAATAAGTCGCCTTTCAAGACGAATACTACCTGATTTTCCCTGAGAACATACGTATTTCAATTTGTTTTTTGGGCTATATTAATTTAAAACCACAGTTGACCAAAAAATTAAGAATATACCTATGATTTTTATATTATTAGTTCTCTCTCCTCAACTTCTGTAAGTTGGACAAAAATGCCCCTCCGCATATAACAAATAAGTTAACAATATAATAAAATAGTTATCGACGTTTCTTATTTGATTCTGAATAGATTGTCTGTCAAATATCTGAGTATGAATATATGATGAGTTAAATGATTATCTATTGGTTTAACACGGTAACAAAATATATATCACTAAGTTTATAAATATATCATGTTAAAACATATTGTATCGCGATAAGTTTATAATTGATATGATAAAGTTTATATTATCATAGAAAATATTTATGGTAAGATAGTAGATATATAGATAATATTTATATTAACGTGTATAACGATGTTAACATGATAACAATAAAAGTAACAGGCGTTACTCTATTTCTGGTCACCGACGAGGCAAACCCAGAAAACAACATAATTAAGTTTTTTGGCCGTCGCTGTCAAATCTTCAATCATCACAGCTCCTCCGTCCCTATCTTCGTCTCAACTCACCATTCCATTTGATCTAACTTCACGACACAGTCTCTTTCTCCGACGTAGTTACCGCAACCGATTAATCATCACCACCACCGATAGAATCATCACAACCATCGGAACCATTAACACGTACAATCATTTGTGCCAGTTAGCCATTGCTCTTGCCAGAAAACGTAGCCACATACAATCATCTTCATCGCCGTTATTTCCGTGTCCTTTTCGACCACCGTTCACCCTTCTCATGAGATGGGTTATGAAGAGAGAGAGAAAAGAAGATGAGAAATGTGCAGAAAGAAAAGAGGAGAAACAAAGAGAATTGATAATAATGTGTTGAGGGTGCTATTGTCTTTTGTATGCATACAGTAAATACCAAATAGTATCGATGAGAGAGAACTAATTATTAAGTCCTTTGTGGTCATGTCTTATAGATTCCCTTGTTTTTTTAACTGCCAGAACACACATCCTCTCTTCAGCTGGATTTCCTTTTTTAATATTCTAGCATTTCAATGGAATTTTAAATGGTTTTGAATGATTCCAATAGAATCCGAAGACAATTTTGTTAATTTGAAGGATTATATTGCTATATATAGACTTGGATAGATTAGCATAGCATTTATTTTTTCGTAATCTATAAAAAAATTATCGTCAAATAATTACTATGCTCTTTTTTTTTTGGCAGATAAAAGGTTTTTATTGTTGCCGTTAATATTCGACCTTGCTTGTATATAATATATAGTCCAAATTTTAAAATCAGTAATTAAATAAGTCGACGAGACAATTAGGGGACATGTTTTCCACATTTTCCACGAAGTGCATCTCCTTTTGCTTGGGTCAACCCATTTTTATTAGAATAACATTGGTACAAGGAAACTAACCTTTTTTTTTAATGAATGAATGTTAAAATTATTCAACCAAAAAAGTTATTTGTACAATGAATGCAACCTTAAATCGAATGTTAAACTAACCTTCTTAAAACCGAGAAGTAAGATTACCGTAAGAAGTTTTTTTTTTGGTTGTCTTTACGGAATTGTGCCACTGCAAGGATTAACATTCAAGACCAAGAACTAAAAATACAAACAACTCACAACATATTATATAATACTATGAGATAACGAAAACTATTATTAAAACTTACCAAATAAAACAAAACCATTATTAAAAGGCCAAAAGAAACAACAAAACCTCACACGTGTACGTTAGGAACATGAAGTGCATCTCTTTTGTCGTCATGAAGTGCATCTCTAAAGACAGAAAAAGTCAATATGTGACAAATAATCGTTTTTGCATTTTTAAATTTAATTTAATGTGTTTGATAGATAATATCAAGAGGAAAACAACAGTTATTGCTGTAGAAAGCCTTCCTCATATTACAGCTACCCGAGAAAGACACTCCCAGCGGCGGCAATAACAAGAAGTATAGTTGAGATAAAGTTTTTTTTTTTTTTTTTTTTTTTTTTTTTTTTTTTTTTTTGAGATAAAGTTTTATTTCTCGTTAAACGACAAAGGTTTTTTGATAGATAACTGCAAAATATAATGCTTGTTTTAGAATAGATAGATATAGCTAATTAGAGTTCCAACGAATTTAAATTCGGAGACTTGGAGTAGTTGGTTGTAGTGCTAGTTATAAACAACATTATTGAGGAAATTCGATTCCTCCCATGCGTATGATTGTGGCATAGTGGGTCAAAACCATAGGCCCAGTTTTTTTTTTTGAAAAGGTCGTCTTATTTAAAAGCAACCCAATCCTATATATTTTGACTTTTTTCTTAGGTGAGAAATTGAAGCTTATGAATTATTAGAGATCATTTCATGATCTAGTAGTATATGGAGTGGACCATGATTTGGAGGGAATTTACTTGTATCTTTAGTGGGTGTATTGACTTTATTTTAGTGGTTTTAAATGGTCATGATAGGTATCTTCCAAAAGTGTTTTGACATGGTTAGTGTTTTCAGGATCACCCAACGAGGTAGGACTTACAATTTGATAGTACATATCGACTGTCACACTAACTTTTTTTTAAAAATGGCATTTTCGTGTTTAAATTCGGCGTCTTGAGACGTGGGTCTCCTTTGTCATGGGTAGGTATGCCAATGCGTAGCTCTGGTTTTTGGCCGCGGAACCTTGTCATTGCCTTGTGCTTTAAACGATCAACACATTTTAAGTGCTTGGGGTTATCTGCATAGCTATGGTTTTCAAATGCTATCTTCGTTATTGCGAGAAATTCTAGGAGAGTCAGTATGGTACGCGTTAACTACATGTTGTGATTTTTGAAAATTTGAAAATCATCCCTAAAAGGTATAGACTTTTGGTTGTTTCAAATGCAACTTGTGCATCCAAACTTTAATTTCCATTGCATAAAAGAAACTTCTAATACAACTCATTTCGTATCCAATCTTTTTCATTCGAACTTGCATATTTAATTTTGAGAAATTAGATATAGATCAGAAAATAATACAACTTTAGTGACTTTATATATGTAGATATAGATCAAGAAATTTATAATACAACTCATTTTATTATTATCAAGCTCTCTTTTATAAATCAGAAAATAAAAAATCAGCTCTCTTTTATTTTTCTGATTTATATATCTATGTTTCTGAATTTGGATATACAAAATTTCTGACTTTGAAACTAGAATATCCTCATGCTGGAGTCTAATTAAAACATAAAACATTTCTAAAATGCTGTGTTAACCATGATTAAGATCAATCTGTGCGAGAGTATAACTAAATCAACGAAGCATCCACATACTAGAAAGAAATAGTAGATATTCTTATTCTTCCGATCACGCTTAATACATGCCAAATTATTACATAATTACGCACACTTCCAAAATGGAGAAAACAAAATACAATATCAAATAATATATAAACTCAGTAACTCACCACCTACTTATTCATTTACCAACAATCGCTTCACTCTTTATCTTCATCAATTGGCCTTGACATCTTTGCCATCGCTCTGCCTCTTCTTAACCTGCGGGTTAACTTCCTCCGACGCCTCACTCTTAACCGGCGGGTTAAGCTCCTCCCACGCCTCAATCCAAGTGACCATTGCATCTGCCAACTTCTCAAAGTAAGGATCGACTTTAGTAAGCTTTTCTTTTGTCATCTTCGAAAGTTCCATATAGCATTTAGCTGCAGTGTCAGATTCTTTCGAGAGACGAAGGTTTTGGAAGAAAGGAACCATATCTTCTTGCCAGTGGAGTCCTTTATGCTCTTTCTTCAGGTTCACAAACGGGTTACTGGCTTTGCTGTGCCACAGATACGGCAAACCAGTCTTGACCCCAAAGCCCAAGTGGTCACACACCACCTTGGCTGCCCAACCAGCCCACATGTCATCGTACCGAGAAATGGGCTGGCCTTCACCCATAAGGCCAAAGTACATAGCAGGCCCAACAAGCTCTCTATTGAAAGCAAGATTCATGCCACACATTGGGTACAATACTCCTTTTGGGATTGTCATCACTGCATCAACATACCTGCAAAGGCTATTATAGCGTTTATATGCATATTGTAAAATACCAAAAAAATATCCTCCTAAAACAGTTTCTTGGATAAAAGCATTCACTGTATAAAAAAAATTATTTGCTTTAATATCAACCATATAATCCATGGAAAACCAAAATCAAACCAAACTGATTTTTTTTTGAATATTGAATTGTTAAAATATGTTTAGACTTGAATAAATAATAAAAGGAATCACAAGTTGAATAAACCTAAATCCTCTGCTAATTAGTATGCAAACTATATTATAACCTCGTGTTCCGTTCGCGGGGCTTCACGAGTTGGGTTGGAGCATCGTAATCAGGGATGTTGAGCCAAAGTCCATGAGATATGGCAGTTTGGACACCTTCCCTTAAACTGAAAGGATACCCTCTGACGAAATCAGTTCCATCTCTAAAAGGGTCATAGAGAGTGTTAAAGTAGTGTGGTGTTGAAGGTGTTTCAAGGTTCTTTATGTGTTGAGCTATCACATTGATCTCTTTCCCACTTGGATCCTTTGCCACCTTTTTTACATTTTTAAGAAAAAAAAATGCATGGAGTTGCATGAGTATA